ATGAATATACGTTTTGCAAAAAGCGTTTGACACTGGGGCTTACGGCTTTGTCTTTATAGAACTGCTTTGTTTTATTATAAACGATATCCAACCAATGAGAAACAACAGGGGATTATCCCGGGAATTTGGCATTAATACCATGCATTTGTAGATTTAACTAGTTAGCCAGGAAACTTTACAGTCTGTGAGAGACTGAAGAAATCAGATCATGGGATAAATAATAGCATCGCGGAGAAAACACATTGCGTTGCGGGCAAATCCGATCGCGTCGCGACCCGCGACGCTGTTTTGACCTCGGGAGAACACTGCACTTTGTAACAAAGAGAACATTTGTCGACCGAATAAAAACAGAAGTCTCAGTCTTACAACACAAATAGTTTTAGTGAAATACGTGTATTGTTAACTTACCAGTTTGCATTCCCAGCATTCTTAGCGACTTCTGCTTCCTGTAAATGTCTTGTAACTGCATTAGCAATACCTACGGCACATTCCGCTTGGAACTCGCTTGCCACAGACTATAATAAATCACAAATGAAATTAGTGACTCTCTGATTTATAAATGGTTTGTATACAATTGGAGAAACTTCTGTGACGCCAAATAAATATAAAAATGCAACCCTAAAGGTATGGCCTATCATGATATGGACCTTCATCACTATTCTTTTACTCTGAGAACAAAAATTTCTCACCAATAGTAAATCCTGGGCAGATATCCTCACGGAGTAAGAAAATGTGTCTTCATCTTCATCTTCCACAAACTGATCTGGATTTGAAGTCCATGATTTTACCTAGGAGACAAATGACATAATATAAGATGGGGATCTTAATCATTACAGCAGGGAATGGAGAAAACGTTAAATATCTAAAATGTTTGGAATACGAATGACAACAGCACTAACCCCAGAGGGGCACTCAGTTAAAACTTGGGGACCAAAATTTCATTGCTAAGCACATTTTGTTGAAGGTAGAAAAACATCCCTTTTCATGTTCTAGTGTCAACAAAATATACCTTAAACAATGGTTACATGAATGTATGAACCAAATGACGATAAAAGATGAAAGCTCACAAACTTGATGAATACCATAACACCAGAAAACAGTCACAGTCATCTCAATTCTCCTATTAAGAAGCATAAATAGGTTTTTTTTTTATCTTTTTCCAGGGAAGTTTCTAGGGGGGGGGGGAATATGTTAAATATTTGAATGTGGAAACCTGTCCAAAATATTTATCGCCAAGTATGTGTTGTTTTTTCAGTTTGATGGTTGCATATCTGACTTTGAGTTGAGTGTCTGTCCTGCTATGGTGCTACTGGCTCATTAACTACAATAGTGCTAATGGCCACTCATACTTAATTCTACATACCTGTTCTTCTGTAATCTGCATATACAGTATAATGTAGTATACAATATCATCCAAACTTTTTATAATTGTACTTCGGAATCGTGGAGTTTCCACTAAACCATGCACAAAGTCAAATATGCTAAAAACTAAATTTTCAAAACCAAGCACTTCACCTGAAGAGAAATAAAAAATTAAAATTTGTCACACAAAGAAACATAACCCTGCGACTAATGCAAGGACGGCGCAGTTATACGCTGTCGCAAGAGGTAAATGTTGATGTGATACAACCAATGCATGTACGTATTCATCCACAGAAAATGTGTTTTTTTTCAATATTTTTAGAAGTAAAAAGTAAATTAAAATTGTACAGAGTCAATACAGATGGGGGGAAAAATATCTGTCACAGTTTCTTGTACATGCCGACTCTGGAAACTGTTGCCATGCACATGCACCATTGTATGTGAAATGATTGCTGTGTCTGCACCAACTGTAGTTAATGCCCTGCACATGCACCATTGTATGTGAAATGATTGCTGTGTCTGCACCAACTGTAGTTAATGCCCTGCACAGTTCTGTGCATCAAGTTTCAAGTGCTGCCACCAACAGGAAATACTATACTGACCCCATTTGTATTACACAACCTACAAATCATTCTGTCCTCTGTTGTATTACACATGTGGCATACACACAATAAACACACTATTCTGTCCTCTGTTGTATTACACATGTGTCGCCAGATTTGTGGCATACACACAATGGACACACTATTCTGTCCTCAGTTGTATTACAAATGTGGCATACACACAATAAACACACTATTCTGTCCTCAGTTGTATTATACATGTGGCATACACACAATAAACACACTATTCTGTCCTCAGTTGTATTGCACATGTGGCATACACACAATAAACACACTATTCTTTCCCCAGTTGTATTACACATGTGTCGCCAGATTTGTGGCATACACACAATGGACACACTATTCTGTCTCCAATTGTATTATTAAGAAGGAGTTTCACTGTAACTACTGTACATTGTCAACTTTTTAATTTTATGGGTCTAGTGATACATGCATTTACATAAACACATGCATAATTTTATATAATAATATATTTTATACAATAATATATTGTTGTACTACGTATCGTATATATTAAATAATTCTTATATGATTTATTTGAATACCGTACTGACCATCCGAATCAACAGGATCATCGGCATCTTCTGTATCATTAACAACAGTTCTCACGTAGACGTCAGCGCTTTCTGTCAGTGCTTTCCATATCTGTGGCAGTAGTTCGGGTAACCACTGAGACATCTGTTTAGAGAAACTTTTAACTAGGGTGGTAACTGCCTGTAAGAGACAAACAATGAAATGTGTAATCTTGAGGTATTGTATATAGAATAGCGAAGTTATATGGCTAAAAAGGTTGATACATACATGTGTAACTAGAGTAAATTAAAGCCTTGCTCAACAATCCTCAAAGATCACACAGGTATTAAAATATATGTGCATCATAGGAAATATAATGGCCTGCCCATCATTTTTACGGCCACCACATTCTCCAGAAAGAGATATACCGTGTTTTAACGAGTGTAACAGTTTGATTCATTTAGCTGTGGGTCATTGGCTCTTTTTGTGTCGGCGTTTGGTTTTTGTGGTGTTTTTTTAGTTGGTATCATCAAATTTGTTATTTTCAGACATAAGGGTTTTTTATCGACACAGAAGAGCTATGCCCCCTATAAACTAGCCTAACACAAACGTGTGTCGCCAACACAACATCTACCGTCACCTATTTATATTACGTGCAGTGGACGGTTGAACGTTATGTTTGCTACAATGATTTGTTTATCATAAATGTCTACTCAACTAACCAAAACATTATCGTTTACAAAGCCTGTCGCTGACACTGGGACACGTTTCGATCTGACTAATTTCACGCAATTGTGATGTTTGTTGTATATATGATCTTATATACCAGTGATTCAGATTGACAATCATTTTAAAAATTCACATGGCTTCTCATCAACTTTTAGGCTAGAATTGTGCTTAAATCTTGCCCAACTACTAAAGTGACCTCAAATTTGAGTTCCATAAATAATAATGATTGTATACAACAGAAAAGTACCGGTACTTAATCCATTCTGATTATCAATAAGAACAATATCACGTGTACCCGAACCAGATACATCACTATGGAGAGCAATTTGCATACTAAAATCTGGTCACCATCTTTTCTTTTATACCTCCAATTCAGTGGTTTAATGTTCTATCAGGACTACACAATATTTTGGCCACAATTAGAGGAGCAGTAGCTAAATTTCAAGTAGGCAACTCTAAATATAATATATCTAGAATTTGAATAAAAATATCAGCTATCAGATGCATTCTATAAAATTCATTCTATATTATCTCAATTTGATGATCTCAAACAAAATTTCCTGTGAAATTGTTATGGTTACAAAATTGCACAAGATTTTTACTGATGATCACATAATATTTTGGAAATTATCAGTGTCAACATACCTTAATTACTTCCATTTTCAAGCCACTATCTGATTTGTCACCATCTGGAAATGACAACGCCTGACCAAAGGCAACCACAAACTGTGACAACACTGGAAACAATAACTGCTTGGCTACGCCCTTATAAGATAGAGAATGAAAACAAAATGATAGAACATGAGCTAATTAATTCTGCAGGGTAGAGGATAGCTGGAACTGGCTACAAATAGTGTGGTCTGACAGCAATCAGTTAGGTTCTTTATTTCCATTGTGTCTAGCACATAATTACATAAATGCAACACAGACACAGTACCAGTCATGGTTTTAGATCTAGAAGAAGTAGTCACCAACACCCACTCAGCCAACATCAACCAGCCCAGTGACTATTAAGTAACATCTAACCATGCAGCAAACAATCAATCCGCCAGCCAGCTAACAAATTGACAAACTACCGACAACCAAATCAGCCATCCAATCACCATGAAACACCCAGCAACCATCAAGCATCCCTTGACAGAATATAGAATTATCAATCATACCTTGTGGAGCTCATTCATACTAAATATGAGCCCAGCACATGTATTGAATATTTCCACAGCGCGGGATCTGGTACGAATACTAAATACTTCATCATTTATGAATATATTATACATTTCTGGTAAAATCTTTGGTGCTACTTGGGGCATCTGCATATCGGTCACTTCACGGGAAAATTCTAAAGAAATAAATGACTAAATATTATGACAAACAAAAGTGAATCACTAAATACTTTCATAATTTATGCTTTATCATCCCTATTTCATAGTCCAAATAAAATTATAGGAATGATCTGAGAGTGCAACATAAGATTGCCTTTAGTTTTAGCGCCTTACAAACATGAATAATACATGCTAGTCCAGTATGAACCATTATAAGTATAAAGTAAACATTATTGGTGGATTACACATATTTGCTGCTACATAAGTCTTACCTGTGAGTACACGCATAGCACCATGGACTGCATTGCTGTCACCACTGGTCAATGCACCCATCAATTCACCGAATAGCTGCGGCCAAGCATCAGGCCAATCCCAATGCGCTATAGCTGATATAGCATAGGCCACACTGGTGCGAACTTTACTGATCGTCTCTCTAAGGCCTGCTGGGAGCATGCTTCTGATGGCCATCTTGGCCTACAAAAGAACATTCATATCTTACTCTGATATGCTGGTGCGGAAAGTGTTAGTGACTTTATTGGTGTCGGAGAATACAAAAAGTATAGGATACAGCAACAAATCAGCTTCAAGAAAAATCTTGCCCCATTCAATGTCATACTATGAAAATTACAGATATGAAAAATAA